ATTATCCTACCTACTCGAATTTTTTATTCCTACATATCCGATTGAAAATTTTATATAGATTTATGTCCCTATCTACCCGTATTCTGTTCTCAACTAAAATTTAATAATTAACATTTTAAATGTAGATTTATCAATCTTTAATTCCTAATTTAATGAATTTATTTAATTACATTTAAATGAAATTAAATAAATTCATCATAGAATTTTTATAATTTTTAAATTATAACATTTCCTCATTGTGTTTTAATTCTTTCCCACCCAAATTCTTATCCACCCGAATTTTCATAGTGCTATAGATAGTACTGTAGTACTATCTACAGATAATATTGTAGTACTATCTGTAGATAATATAGTATTATCTATAGTGCAAACATACAGAGAATTCTTTATCATTCCCCCCCAATTACGTGCAATTGCACGCATAAAAATTTTATTAATTATTTATTTTTGATTAGTCAATATATATATTGATTAATCTTTTGTGATTCTTCAGGCCAGATTGGACCTACCTTTCGTTGCTCCTGGCCACGTTGCTCCATCGTCGATTTGGCCACATAGCCAGAACTTCTGGCCACATATAGCCAGAAATAAGAAAGGAGGTATACTCCTTCAATTACTTATACAATATTATACTACTTTTACAATATTCTAACGAAACAACAAAACTCTTAATTCAACAAACTGAATTTTAATATAAAATTACGTTGTTTAAGTTAAAAACTTCAAGTCAAACAAATAGAATTGCTAAATCTAAAGAAATCTTTTTCTCAGTGCTTGAATCAGGTGAGACCGACGTAAAAGATTCAAAATGAATGACGTGAGATTCAAGCGAGATAATAAATTTCTGGCATAATCAGCATGCCAATATTAAATTGTAAATGATATAAATGATATAAATTCTAAATACTAGATATTGTATCTACATAATTCATCAAATATAATAATATGGGTAATAATAAATTCAATAAATAATGTAAATGAAAAAATATATTAACAATACTTGTATTAAATTAAGATTTAAATTAAAAATAAACTTTCAAAAAATTCAATACAAAATAATGTATTTTAAAAATAAATTAATAATTTATAATTATCAATGTATATTCCGCGAAACAAAACATTTACTGAATCTCACGTCATATTAAATTTTGCTTTAACTTACGTAAAGCCAAGTTATTATTAATTATGATAAGATGGATAGATTAAACGTGGTTAAGATCAAATCGGCACGCTTGTTATAAAATTTATTAATGTTAATGTTGCTGAACATTCACTTACGTTTATAATATACATTATTAAAAAAATTTCTGAATTTTACATATATACTACATATATATATATCTCTTTCATGCACCGATTTAAATATTTAATCTTGGTATTAAAATATGGGAAGAGGAAAGATGGGTAATAAATAAAAAATACATAAATATGTTCATTTATATTCTTATTTGATATAAATATAAACTATGACTCTCTTTTCATTTCAACCCTCACGACACATGCCTAAACGTCAATAGACACCAGCACAACGCGGTTTCCAGGCCGCTAGGACTCACGGGTCCAAACAACAAACGCCAGCCCGGCGCACTGGACTTCGTAAAGCCAGGACACCTGACAAACCTTCTCTGCAAGGGCACGTTTCCTCCGGAAGGCGAGAGCACATGCCTACTCTCAGACTACTTTAAGCCTCCGTTGGGCAGCTTGCAGTATAGACGCAATAGAGATTTCCCGAAGGTCTCGTACGCCTAGAATGTGGGCTCAGGATAGATCGGAGGACCGTGACCTCCAATTAATCCTTGCCCCGACTAGGCTGTTGGTCTAATGTGCTCAGTCTAGGATAATCCTAGACACAATGCCTAAATCAATTCAGACAGTGGCGATCGGGCCTCAAAGATTACTACTTTTTAAACTGTAGTAATCCAATCCAACAGAGAGTCATAGTTATATTTATATTTATATTTCTTCATTTAATATAAGAAATATATATTATAAAAACATTTAAAATAAAAATTTAATACTTTTAAAAAATACCAATTAAATTTCTTTTACCCGATTTTATGCCATTTCAATTGTTAACAATTTATTTCAAAAATTTAATAAACTTAATAAATTTTATATATTAATTCCGAGATGAGTAAATATAGATGAATAAATTCTATATATTTTAAAAAAATACTTAATTAAACTATTATTTTAAAAATATCTGTTACTTTATATATACATAAGTATATAAATATATACATGAGTATCTAATTGAGTATCTAATTAAATATTTAATTTCTTAAAACAATTAAATTATTTAACTTACAAAATTTATATTTTCTTGCGAGATTGTTTGATAGTTTTTAACAATTAATACATTGCAAATGAATTCTCGCAAATGAAATATAGAAAACAAAAGTAATAAAATCGATACAAAGAATTCTATTTGTGTTTGCATAAATGCATTATAATAAATCGGTGTCATACCAAGATTAAATATACAATCCTAAACTGTTTAAATCTATCCATTTTAGGATAACAAATCTATGAAAATATACCCAACTGCAAAACTTTAATAATAAATACATAAAAATCTAATATGAGTTTCATAGATTTGTTACCCCAGTATAAAAAATTTGTCACTCACCGATCCGATGCGCAACAGCGGAGTTAATCTGCAACGTAGCTACGATGATTCTGTAACATACAAAAAGAATATTCAAATTATATTAGCGTTCGAAACAATAGATATTTTTACTTTAAAAATTTTTACGTATATCGAATCTACTAGTTTTTCAATTAGATATTTATGAAAATAATAATTAATAAATATTTTAAAAAGACCTTTGTAAGAATAAATTCCTATTAAACTTTAAATTATTTTTCTTTCCCAAACTATAAATTTTAAATGATTAAAATTCAGTGGTCCAAATAAATGAAAAAAGAAATAATTTCATCTTGACAAAAAATGTATACTTACCGCAAGGTTGCTCCGCCGGTGCCCGATGCCTCTCCTAGGCCTCCTCCTCCTCTCAAGATGTCGGGTCGTCGGATGTCCTCGCAGCACAGGACACTCGCGAAAAACACTCGCGAAATTATTATAATCGCGCGCGGACTAATTTTGCTGCTCGTGAAAATATCAAGTTCCGTCAGTCCAGTCAGCACCCGAGTCGGTGAGCTTTCGGGACACACGGTAACTCTTCAAGCAAAGGCTAGGACCGAAGCGGAAGAAGACGAATCGACTGACTTGAATCCGACGTCTCTTGTTTCTTAGAAATCACGTCTAAAATTGACTCAATCATCGCATAGCCAACGGTTCAGGTCGAATCACCAGGGCGGATACCATACACGTGATATCAAAAGTCACCCGGGCTATCGAGAAGGCTGGTAGATGTGACGAGACAGAAGGTACCCACCGCCGATGCCTAACAATCTAGACAATCGGACAACTGGGATCCAGCCTCTCGGCACACGCAATAACCGCCCGAACTAAGCTCTGATCGAGATCAGATTAAACGCGATTTGTTTAGCAAGGGGAAGGGTAAGGTATTAAGGAAGGAAAGATAAAGGTCGTTGGCGATTAAATAATCGCACGTGCCACATAGGAGCCCTTTCACGACTCGTGGCAATGCTGTGTCGAAAACGAAAAATAGTCCGCGCGCTCCAGACTAATACGCGCTTATATAATCGCGTATGTCAGTGCGTGAAACGCACGCGCCACATAAGAGCCCTTTCACGACTCGTGGCAATGCTGTGTCGAAAATAAGAAATCAAGAGAATAAGCGACGAAAACAAGTCAGCCGATTGAAATCTTACCGATTGGGACCGAACCACTTGTCGAAGACAGAGCGTGTTCTCAATCAGCCGTTTAATGCAGGTTGCAACTGTGCGAAACACAACACATCAAGCGGTAGCGAGTGCGTGTAACATTCACAGCCGGCATCACCAGTGCCGCGATGCACGTGGCGTGAAGACGTAGCCGACTACGCCTCAATGAGATCCCGCGCTCCCTGCACCCCTTGACAGTGCGACTCGACCGACTCGAACGAATGATATTTCTCAAACGAGCCCTCCGCAGGGGGCGAGGAAAAGTCTCTTAGTCCGATCACTCGGTACGGCACTCCCGAAACAAACGCGCGACGCGACGAACTGGCTGCAGTTCGTTCATTCATAATTAAATCGGCGGCGGAATGTCGATTAAAAATCGACGATTAATGCAAACGCATTAATTAATTAAATTTGAGCCACATAAGAGCCATTTCACGACTCGTGGCTATGCTGTGTTAGTATATTATTAATAACAGTAATATTATTTAACGTTAATATTAATGTTATTAATAACAGTGCAACGGGTACTCGTTAGCTTCTTCGTCTTTGGGGTACATATTCAAGTAGCACAAGTTAATTGGCAAATATATTTCACCGATTAGTAGTACTGCTTAAATAACCCCTCGGAATACTCAGCCCCTCCGCCACGTCAAGGCCGTACCCATCGGAGGGGATTATTATTTACAAAAAAGTCATCAGTAAATTTTAAAGAAATAAGTCCCGCGATATAACCGCATATACGATTAAAAAGATATTGTTTCGATACGTTTATGAATAGTTAATCAATCGTTGATTATTTATTATTATATTCATATGACATGGCAACGTTTAGCAACGGTAGCATTTAACAATAAAAGAATATGAGGAAACGCGCCGCTACCTGCTCGTACGAACGCCGGACAAAGAATGATAACACGTGGGACGCCCGTAAACATGGCGCGCGTTGCGCGCCATACATACCACAGCCACGGCACGTAAACAGTTTTGAAGGCAATCTACAACGTGTGTCAAACGAAATATTCAACAATATTACGAATAATACAAAGGCTCTTACAACGTCTTTCGATAACTCAACATTAAATACTGTAATCGTTACGTTTTAAATGCCTTCTGAATAATCTATTATCATGCATTTGCTTGTTTGTTTAATAGATTAAGTTACGACTTATTAAAGTTAGACATATAGACATCTTACATATCTTATGTGTATTACAATAAATAATTGTTACAATAAATTCATTATCGCTATATGTACATATTACAAAATAGTGTGCAAATTATAATTAAATTCATAAGAATTTGAAAGTACCCAATGTAAAGATATTTGGATTAGATTATTAGTTTAAAAGTAATCGTTCGTAATTATCGAAATTATTATTATTATTACTATTATTGTAGGTATATCGTTTCGATTATAATAGAATAAATTATATACTAAACACTTTCGATGATATTTATCGATGTTTGCAAATTTTTATATTCCATTCAAAATTTAATTAATGTAAATATATTAAGAGTTAATTTTATGTTAGATTCCATTTAAAAAGGCTGTGTAAGATTTTAATTATGCTTTTGTTGACGCTATGTATGACTAGTCACACATGCAAACAAAAAATGAAATAAAGAGACTTCTGCGAAAAAACAATGTTATTTTTTCCTTCGGTTTAAATATTTTTTAAAACTTTTGCAATTCTTTTATATTTTTTATATTTCCCGAAATTCATGTCATGAAAATTAAATTATTTAAAATAAAATACTGAAAACAAGTTATTAGAATAACTTTGCTATTATTTTTGTACTCCCAAAAATTTATTTTATTATCTGTTGTAAGAGGAACTATTAATTTAAAATTAAATGTGTCATAATAACAGTAATAAATAAACGTTATCCTCCCTTTGTTACCCTCAGTACAATCAAAACGATCGGTAATATCATTATTCTTCAATTATCCTCGGATCCGCTTATATTACATTAATTATTAAGTATACATATATACTCATTATATTACATTATATTACATATATTACATTAATATTTTTATTAATAATAATTATAAATTTATATAAATTTTTTGACAAAGAGATATCGACTTATTCGTAATGTAAAATTTTGCTCGCAGTTGCGGATCTTTTAAATATCGTTTGAAGACAATAGTCATCGAAGACGAAGTCATCGATACAAATAGATGCATACAGATTTCCTATCTGGTTTTGCAAGATGCGAATAGACATTCAAAATTGACTGCTGTTATAGAAACGGATAGGATTCATAATTCAGTCTACATAAATGCAATTTCGATAGATTCCATTTTGTCAGAAATTAGTTAGATGGAGTGAGGTCCAATCGGACACATTGCCGATTGATTGATTAAATAAAAAAATTTTTAATAGGTGGCTCACTAGAAAATTACTAGGCATCGGCTGATGTGAGTGGTGTGTCCGATTGAAAATGTGCGCATCTGGGACGCTCCCGTTAGATGCAATTAGTTTTTTCCACTATCTTTGCGTGTACAATCCTATAAAATCTATAAAATATTATTTATCTGCTTTTATACGTAATTGCGAAGAAAAAAACACATATTAAGATAAGTAAAAACAGATCGAATGCACGTTTTATTTGTTTCTAACGGAATTTGTATCAGAGTAAAAAAATACATAGCTTATGTAATGGAGATAAGTAAATAATTGCAAAGAGTATATAAAGGTTCATTTCATGATCGAGTTTTTAAAGAATTTTTAAATTTAGCTAAATTATTATCCAAATAAAGTCTACTTATATAGCTAATATATAAAATATAAGATATAAAAATATTAGATATATAAAGATATATAAATATTAGATATGACACATTAAATCTAAATATATAAACATATTTTAAATCTATGAGTGCATAACATTTTCAAATGTGTAATTAGTGTATAATTATAAAATAATAAAGATTAAAGAATAAATAATAAACATGATATTAAATTATTCAATATAAAATTTATTTTTATGTTAAAATGTTAATTCTTAAATGACACCAAAGATATGTATGTGTGACAATGTATTATAATAATAAACATTAAGAAATAACATTTAAAATATGAATATAATTTTATAAATATATGTTAATTTTACATAGAAAAATATTAGCAGATAATGTTTTAAAATTATTGAAGAGGGAGTATAATATACTTCATTAAAGAACAAAAGTGTTTCATATGTGTTTTAACTTTTTCATAAGTTTTAAATGCATTCTTAAAGGATAACAAATTTATAACACCTGGAGGTATTTTAGCTGTAATAAACATGTTACAGTATGGTGCTATAGTACTTGAATATTCATCAGATATCACAATAACACAATTGCCCTTAATTAAAAGCCGTGTCAGATAATTAAACAGATTCGATTCATCACAATCTCGTATCCACACAACACCATGTGGTTTATATATATTGCTCACTTCTAGTCTTTCATCTTGATAGTAGAATAATTTATTTTCAGATATATCTGGTAATTTTATACATTGTAATACTGTTTCTGCTAATGAATATTTCCTAGAAAAAAAAAAAAAAAAAAATGCGTTTCTTAAAGAATTATTAAGAGCAGATTTATATAAAAGTTATCTTAAACAAGAACTTAAAAAGCTGTAGATGTATAAAAATTTTTTAAGAAGTTAACATACCCACAGCATTCTAATACAGACGCGAGTCTATACAATGCTTCTATTCTAGAAGTCATGGACCAAGTACTCCAAATTGTGAATGCTTCACTAGCTGATAGCAAACATCTCATTACATCATCCCTGTAAAATATTGTTTAAATATAAATTTAGCATATGAGTTTTGTGAAGTTTCTTAAATCCAAAAATTTTTGCAGACAATAATTAAAGAAAAAGAGAAGAAAAATATTTCATACTTGGTTGCGTTTGCATATATAATGATTTCAGTTTCATTCTGTTTCTCCCAATATTTTCCTTTTATGGGAATTTGCCATGTACCATCATAAAAAAGGTTATATGATGAATGAAGTGCACATTTTATTAGACTTTTGTGGACCGTATACGTATAATCTTTTGGACTTAGTTTATAAATCTCAGAAGACACATCGTAATACGGATGGATTTTGAAAGCAAACTTGACACCACTGCAAATCTCCATGTGTGAATTTATGAATAAAATATCTCTCTGACCAAAACAGAAATTGTTTCAATAGAACTATGTAAATAACTTGACAATTGTAATACATCATTTAAATTGTATTACATACATTTAAAGACACTGCTAAATCTTTTGCAGCTATTATGTCTTCTGACCATATAGATACTATATTTAAAACTCGAGGTTTGAAAAGTGATTTTAATTCTTGTCTTTTATGAAATACAGATATGGGCAAAGTCATACACCGGGCAAAATCTAAATGTTTTTTTATAAGCCATAAAAATGTTTCTTTTATTGATTCTTGGACAAAAATTGTGGTTATCTTTGATAGAGAAGAAGGTTTAATCTTTAAGTAACTAATAACTGCATACAAGTCTGAATCTTCTAGCAAAATCATTTCAATGATGTTATCTATATGAATTTAAAAAATTTGTTTTTAAAATAAAAAATAATTAATTTTTACTTTATATATGTCTATACTAAATGTTCTTACCAGTTGTTGCATGGCTAAAATATATATTCATCTCAGAGTTCTTGCTAAAAAATATAAAAATTATATTCACAAAATGATTACATTAATTTAATATAATATTAAAAATATTAAATATATATGTAATAACTAATTTAATGATATAATAATTTTATGAACATTATGAATTTTGACATAATAAATTTGATATAATTACATAAGGGCAGTTATCAAAAGTAATGGAAGTTCAGGTTCTTCACATATAATATTCATCGCATATATTATGCTTAAATCACCACAAGTAAATGAGTCTCCTAAAAAGGAAAAAGAAAAATCAAAATCAAGTACAATAAAGTAAAGTAAAATATTTTCTATAGAAACAATATTCATTTTTATGTTCGCATCTCGATTTTTGCGCGCGGAATCATTTCATCCTTTATCTAATGTTAAACGACACAAATAACGTTTTATAAACTCTTCGGGTGTAAATCGGTAAGCAGACTATATTGCAGACTATAAAAATAATATAAAGAAATAAAAAAAAAGGCGAAATGATTATGTCGATAAATCATTATTTCACAATTACAAAATTGTAAAAATATTAAATATTAAATATTATAATGCACTCGTACTTACTATCAAACATTATTTTTATACTAGCATTATATAAGTAATCAATAATAGAAGTAACTGTATCCACATCTTCGCAGGCTTTGAAAAGAAAAATATTCTTTTCTATTATAGATGTTGTCTGTTGGAATCTATTGACGAAAGATAATGGAGCATTTTATATTTTTGACATCATTATTAACTTAGGATTAATTTATTGTTTATACTTACCTTTGTAAGAGATTGACATTTTGAAATTTTATATCCTTGATTAAGGCATATATCTTTTTCAGTGCTTCCTAAAAACATATAAAAATAGGACGAAGCATTTTATTAACGATATAAATTAAGTTTACCGTTTGAGACTATACTTCACAATTTCTCATATTTTTGTATATTAATCATATTTATACTTACTTTTTTGTTAATCCTATATTCTAGGTTATTATAATACTGATTTATAAGTTTTATTCGCTTACTTATTTTATTCATATTGATTATTTATCTGTTTCCAATAATACTGAACAAGGAACATGTGTTTGCTTTCTATAATAAGAACAGATGAAGTCAAACCTGTACTTGCGAAAAGAAGGATTTTGATGTAGAGCAAGAAAGTGAGTAATTATACAAAGCGATTTATGTGATAAATATTATGATGTTATTGATAATAACAGATATAAAGAACAAAACTATAAATATGAAATTTGCTCTGCTTTTATTTAAAAAATTTTACATAAGATATTTCGGAAGATAATACAAATATTCCTTTTTATCTCTGTCTTTTTTAAATATTTTTATTAGTTTTTTTATTTGTAAAGTAAATATATTTTAGATAGAAATTTTTAATTATTATAAATTCTAATTGGATGACAAATGAAGAAGGTAACAAGTATATGTTGACAAAGCTCGCAAAAGAATGATTTAAAAAATTAAGATGTTCATCAGCTTTCTCATAATTTTGCAAAAGATAAACTTGTTTTGTTGTTTTATTTTATATTTTAATTAAACGCCGATTAAGTTAATCGGAATATTATTGCAATTGCCATGAAAGTTTTGTGACATGAGAACATTCAAATATTATATTTGCAAGTTAAAATGCATATCAAAATCCATACAGCACAAACTTTGCAACTATGTTACAGCAACATTGCCATCGATGTTACATCATTGCAAATGTAAAATAGATTATTTAGAAAACAGAAAGAAGAAAAGAAATGCGACAAAATGTTGAAGCATTTAAATTTAGCGGTAATAAATGGAATCCGATTTTTTTTTTAACTGAACTTTATGCACCGTTCATTTTTCTTTTTTTTCTTCAACATATAAAAGGAAGAGAGATAAATAGTATAGCTGAGTATAGCAAAAAGTATAGCTGAAATGAACAAAAGAAATGACCTACATATTTAAAGTTTGACGATGTGAAGTGGAAAGTGCAATGAGTGCAACTCGGTGCAGCGACAGAGAACAAATTGGTGATCGCGAAAAAGAAAGAAATGGAATCTTGAAATGAGTGTAATGGTAGGTTGGAGATTCTAGATTTTGAAACAGGAAAAAGATCAGTGAACAACATACATTGCAATGTAAATCGGTATATACCGGATATATAGGAAATTATAGTGATGATAAATCACTGCGATAAACGCATTACGGGAAATATCGCATTGTAAAGCGACGATTTGATACTTACAATTGTGATAATAGTTTCGTCAAGATAGTAACAGATACAAGACGTAATACACTGTGGCAACACAATATCTCTTTTGAAGAAAGAGAAAAGGGATTTTAAATCAAAATGGCAATTGATTTATCGACTGTGCCGCTTGTTACGGCCAATGTTGCTAGCAGACAAGCTATTGCAATCTTGTTAAATCCCATGAAGTGTTTGCCAAGTGATAACGGCTTGCCAAGGTATGTATTCAATTTTAATAGATACATATATGTTATAGATTTAGAGCATTATATGTGATTATTAATTTGTAAACAAATTACAAGGGACTGGAGAGGCCTGGCACATTTGTTAGAGTTTAATGGAGAAGTCGTGTCACTGTTAACATCGCATTCTGATCCGACAACACATATATTTACAATATTGGAGAAAAATCAAAAAGACATCTCAATAAAAGGTTTTCAGACAATGATGGAACAGATGGACAGATGGGATGTTATTGATGACACTGAAGTGTTACTTCGTACGTATCATTGAAAAATTTATATATTTTTTGATATTTATAGTAATTTGGTAAAAATATATAAAAATAGAATATGTGTGAGAAATATATCTGTAATTATAATAAATTATTGATTTGTTCATACAGAAAAAGATGCGGAAAGATATTTGGAACATCAGCAAAGAGCTCAAGTGTCAGCAGATCCAATAGATGAAGGTGATCGAGAAATACTTACATTAGGTTTGTTATAAATCATTTGTAATGGATAATACTTTAGCTTAGATCACTGTTCACATAACATTCATTTATTACAACATATTTTGAAAAACAAAGTTCTAGAAAATGAATTTGAATATTTTGGATCATGATTTTGGCATTCCAATATTTACTGTTAATTCTGAAAATATGTAATTTGTGTGACATATTTTATAGAGTTTCAATATTGATAATGAATGTCAAAACGCAGTCTGAATATTATTTTCGAATGCGATTTTGATGTGATAATTAATTAGAGAAATAATTGTAGCATTCATTATTTATTATATTTCTTTATTCAATATATTGAATAAATGAATATTGTAGGCAACATATAATTATTATCAATAATTTACACATATGTTTCTTGCAGGTGATGTTTACAGGCTAAAGCAAGGATTAGGAACACAATATTATGATGCATTTCTTTTGTATGCAGATGAGGATATTGATTTTGTGAACGAGATGATAGATAAACTTGAGACGGAATACAAACTAAAAGTATTACTGATAATTATCTATGTTATATAATTTCTTAGAAATTCATATAAAAGTCTAACTGCATTATTACATTTTATTACTTTCAGTTATGTTTAAAGGATCGGGATCTGGTCGCTGGTACAGAATTTGAGCATGAAGCGGTAATGAAGTTAATAACTGAACGATGTAATAGATTACTCATTATAGTCACACCAAATTTTTTGAACAGCTCAGCGAATAAATTTTTCTTGAATTATACTCAGGCCTTAAGTATCGGTATGTTTTTGCATTACATCTTTAAAATGCATATTGAAATAATACTATAATGCATATTGAAATAATAATATTATATTATAATATGCATATTGAAATGATAATATTATATTTTAAAACTTTTTAAAAAATTTTATTTTCTCTTTTCCTTAGAAAAGCAACAGAGAAAAATTATACCTTGTATATATAAAAATTGTGAATTGCCTGTTCAACTAAAATATATATTCAAGTTAGATTATAATCGTAAAGGATTTTTTGACTTTTGGGGCAAAGTACGTGATTCTGTGAAGGCGCCAAATTTTGATGCTATAAGGTAACATTTTTTTATTTAACTTATAGGTTATTTTGGCGTAAATAATATAATTTGTAATTTTACAGCAGTACAGCTCGGATTGGAAATAGTAGTAATATAACACAAGAAACTATAGAAGTAAAAGATATTTTGCCTAATAAACATAGTGATTTATATTCAGTTACTCAAAAAGTAAATGAAGAGACATCAAAATATTCACAACATGAAAATTGTGAAAATTATAAGAGTGAAGCTATCGCGAAAGTAAGTGATACAAAAACTTTAAATGTTAGCAGTAAAAAGAATAAGACGTTGTTACGATGGGACAAGATTACTTCAAATTGGAAGACAAAACAAACTAAGCAATGTGATCAGTTAACTACAGAAGAAATTATCGAAAATCTACCATCAATAAATAATTTGGATAGTTTAGATTTGTCATCAAGCACTCATATGTTCGAAAATAAGAAGAAAAATTTATTTAGCAAATTTACAAAGAAAAAAAAGATTGCTTTAAAAACTTGACAATTTTTATTTGCACAAAGGATTGGATACGAAACTTTATTTCAAATTTTGTTATGTAAACAAAAAGACGAAGTATATTCAAATATCTAATTCAATGGATTTAGGAAAATATATGTTCAAGTTAAATTTTATATGACAATTATATATTTTATTAAAAGGTTATACAACTAAGAATAGTAAAATTTAGTTTATAAATGAGATATAAATCTGTTATATCATGTCTTTATATATATCATGTCTTTCAATCATATATTGAGATTATTGACCTAAATAGATTTTATATTATTGAAGTGATAGTGAAATTTATATGAATATAAATAGAGGCAGCATAACATACTAAGCGAAAGCATAGCATCAGAGTACTATTTTTTTAAGGCCACTAAATTGTACACAATAAAATTGAAATACTTTTTCAGTAAATTTCAGAATACACAATAATTGCAAATCATTGGATTATGCAGCACTATGAATCGATTAGTTTTGTGATTCGCGACCATTTTATGCATTCTAAAATCTCTTGAAAAAAGTATCTCAATCTTATTAACAATATACAATGATGTGTTTTTGTATCGCTATCTCAAACATAAAGATTTCAACGTTTATAACAAAAAAAATTATATATAAGGTATACATCTTTCCGTTGAGCTTTACACACGGAGAAAATATCAGGAACAGGAATAAATATTAAATTTTGGAAATAAAAATTCGGAGTAACGTTAGTTAATATTTAGTAATTATGTGAGATTTTAGAAGTAGCAAGATTATATAATATGTGATTGTATCATGTACATATTTTATATAAAAATATATAATATAATATTAAAAAATAAATGGCGTGCGCGAAGCGCGCGTTTGTACTGTTATTTAAATGAAATATATATAAATAAAATATGAATCTTCTATAATCCATAGATTATAGTTTACATATGTTTACATATGTAAATGACATTTTATACATAGTTTACACAGCTTACGTTATTTATACGTAATGTAGATTACTTATACTTGCGCGTAAACGTATAACTCTTGTTGGTAATTTGAAATATTCCGGATTTATATGATAACTTATCAATACAAAATGATACCGATGACTGATAATAGAATATCGAGCCATCTGATGATACAATACTTTTGTATAATAATAACGACAATTATTATCCATCGATCATATATCGAACGAGTTTGTGCGAACGCTGTTGATTGTTCCCGTTGATCGGCGGACGCGCATACTCCCGATTTGCGAGTGACGTCACGAGATGGCGCGAGGTTCGCGCGAACTCCCGCGTGGCGTCGCTCCCGTACGCGCCTGATCGGTGGCGATCGTGGAATGGGATTCCAATATGGCAGCCGTCGTGTTAGCCGCACAAGTTAGTGTCGCGGAAATGTTTTGAACTCGCTGGGCAGGCAACCGCGACGACCGGTCGACGTGCGACGCATAGGTTAGTAAGGGCGACGTACGAACGGGCCGGTCGCGTTTTGCGTCCGGTCGACCGACGCCCCGCGTCACAAGGAAAACCCCGCGAGTCCGAGCCGCTTTTTCCCTCCCCCCCCTTCGCTTCCCTTGTCCGATGTTCGTCTGTCTCGCGCGCGCGGTTTCTCGCGAGTTATCGCGCTTTCCGCGCGTTCGCGAGACCGATCTCATCGTCGTGTCGTGCGATTCACGAATCTCGACGACAACTCGCGCGACGAGCCTCGGATTTTTCCGTTCTTCTTAATCCTCCACGCCGCGCTACGCCACGCCACGCCGCGTTCGGATCCGCATTGTGTACGTTCGCGAGGATGTGCGCGTATTTCCCTCTCTGTCAGTCGTTTGCTGATCGACCGCTCTCCTCTCCTTTCCTCTTTTCTCTCCCTCTGCGTTTTTTCCTCCCGCGTTGCACCGCGAACGCATCGTCGTTGCATCAGGTGTGCGATTGCCATCGGTACTTTTGAGTGAGTTGAGTCGTGTGTGTTGTGTGTGTGTGTGTGTGTGTGTGTGTGTGTGTGTTGTTTTTGTGTATATTTTGTGTATGCGTGTTGTGTACGTGTGCCATGTGCGTGATGAGTGGCGCGTGAATGCACAAATTTGTTTTGAAAATGTCACTCACACGTTTCTGCCCTCGCCTCCCCTCCCCCTCCCCCGACCTTTTCTACGTTCTTCTGTCATGTGTCGCGTTGCATGCGTGCGTGGGTGCGTGTTTGGGCGTCAAGAATCCTCTCTCTCCGTTGGTGGTCCACAACGCGTCTTCCGTCTGTCTTCGTGTGACAACCCTGAGAAATAGGACGCAGATGTATATCCACGATGAGATCCGCAGCATCACGACACCTGGACCCGGCTTTCGGTGAGTCTATGATCTTTTATGTCTGAAACCTTTACTTTTAAATATCGAGGGCACCTGTCCGCCCTCGCGACAAGTGTCGTCTGCTTGGTGAGGTCGTTCTTGATCACTGAGATTAACTTTTTGTCTCATCTGCGATGTGTAAAAGTTCTAAACGATTTATATAGGGGAAAGGGGTAAAGGGGTTTTTAAAATGGGTTTTAATGTTTGTCAATTTTTTCTGACTTTTATAGTGAGGAGTAAAAACGATGATCAATTTTTTTTTTTTTATTAGTTAATCTTATCTGTAGAAATTGAAAAGTTTATGAATAAATTAGAATTTTGTATAATTTAAATTTTTTGAGGGGGTATCAATTTCGTCATCTCGTATATGTAGGTAGGATGACTTTTAGTAGTGAGTAAGGTGATATAAGTTAAAATTAATTTTTTTATAAACTTTTTATATTATTCTAATTTATAATGTCTGAATAATGCAACAAAATATAAATGAATAATACTTGTGAATACAAAGTATCATTTATAAATTTAACTTATAAATTTATTTCGTATTTGTGATATTAATTCTTATAGAGAAACGGCGTATTGCAATACTAACAAAAAAATTATATAATATATTTAGAATATCTTGTTTTAAATTATAATTTTTTTTATGTTTTATGTATGTTTATGTATTAATTTGAATAATAATTTAAAATCTTTTTGTAAATTATTAATTATTTTTGTTTTTTGCAGTTAATTTCAGAGGATATTCATGAATAAAAGTCTTTGTCATCAGAAAAAAGTCAGAAAAAAATGTCAATTACAAATACTTTTTTATAAATATTAAAAACCGTGTTATTTTGTTTATATTTTAACTTTACAATTTCTGTATAATTCAATTTCTCTTTCTCTTTATTTCAATGTTTCAAATAACATAAATGAGAAGTACGTTCTTTTTAAATTGTTGCTATTAGTATATAGTTGATACATCCGTAATATAATTTTAAAGAAAAAATTGAGTTTATATATAATATTTCTTTACATATAATATTTCTTTAAATCATCAGATATTCTTTTAATAATTTTTGAGTAAATTTGAAGTCAACAAAAATATTGAGAAACATATATTGATTGAAGTATGACATTTTTTTTTGCGTTATATACTTTTATAACAATTTACATTAAAATGGAAATTATAAATCTTTCATTGAATTATTAAAAATTATTAAAGTGTGTAGTATAATTTTATATACATTTTAAATATATGTAATTTATTTAAATAATATATTTAAAAACGTTGAAGTTACGATTGATCCACGTTTTTGTCAATCTGCAATTTATTAAAAAAATATTTTGTTTTTTCGTATTTTATTCTTTTTTTGTATGAAACGATCTAGTCGTATCTCTTTATTTATTACGTTCAGGAACAATAATCTTAGAAATGCCAGGGATGCTAAAATATCGAAAATATTATTTTTAAATTTTGATATCATTTTTAATTACGTCGAATAATTAGCAAATTTTACTTTGTGTTCTGAGCTATTAATCTTTATTCTGCTATTGTTGAAATATCAGACATACAATTATACGAAGTTGTCGCACAGAATGTGAATAATGAACGGCTCTCCTGAAGAGTTTCCGTTGTATTTTCATTCATCATTCGTATTGGATTCTGTCCTATTCCGAGCATTATCCCGAATTGTATTGTGCCGAGTTTAATCTCGTTCTTGTATTCCAAGATTTCGTATTCTATCGGTTTGCATTTCGCTCCTATCTCTTTTACAATCCTTTATGATCGATCAAATACAACATCACTGTTGTATACAATTCACTGTCACATACAATTCACTATTTGTAAAAAGATTATTTATAACACTGTTTCGTCATTGAATTATTACAAAGTAAAAGATGGATAATTTATATAAAAAATTTATCTTTTTTTTTACATATACAAGTAACTATATAACTGCGAAATTATTTTTAAACGCCATTTCCCAGGATCTAATTTTATGATTAGGCATTATAATTTATCAATAATTTATTAACTTATAAAATTATTATATAATAATTATATATTATTAAGATTTTATAATGCGTTTTTTCTTTAATGTTTTGATAATTGTTTTTGCAGATTGAATTTCTTTAAATTGAATTAAGAATAACGAAAAATGGCACAATATTTTAAGTTTTTCTTATGTATATATTGTTAATAAATTTTTTTAATTTGAAATTACTTGCAATATAAATTGTATTAAATTACATTAATCTCGTAATAGCAGAATATTATTCTATATCTTTATTGAAAATTTATGATGAAAAGAAGAATTTGAGAGCAGGTAGCTAAGGCAATAATAATCATTAATTTGAATAAAAGATATTTAATTAGTATTAATTAGTAAATTAACAATGTAATAGATAAAAGTTCCATGCAAAAATACGTGAAATTGACCATATTGTTAAAACTGGTAATATTATTATATGTTAGGTATGATTAATTTTTTCAATTTCATTAAGTTTTTAGTTAAATTAATACCGTTTATTCTCGAAATCTTGACTGAATTCTTTTTGTGAATATTTTATATAAATCATGTTTTCTAAAATAAATTTTTCTAAAACGAGTAAAATCGAATTTATTTGTATGTATCAAAATTTAATTGGTAAAAAACTGATAATTGCATTACTTGCCAGAAGTTATCAAGCAATTACATTTTGCATAAAGGAAATGCCATTCTATTTACTTTAGTGATAATTATAATCGCTTCCGGTTACACGTGATATATATTTACATAGAAACAGATATGATTTCGTGACACGCGCTTGATTGCGTATTTCATCATACCGCATTTTATCACAATCCTTGAATATGATATCTAGACTTTTTATTTT